CGGTTAAAAGAGCGCGTGCAGGAGTTGTACGATGAAATGTGTGGCCTGAAGCGCGCGGAGAGGTTTGGTGCGCTGATAACTATGGCGGGCTGGGCGAAAGAGTCCGTTAAGGACTTCATTCGGTATCCCTTATAAGGGCTATTAAATCCTTATTATATATGGAGTGTGAGCGGTGTAACAAGGAGTTCAGCAGCAAGCAAATGTTAAAATACCACCTGGAAAAGATGGTATGCGTTAAGAAGGTGCGCGAAAGGCGTTGCAAGGAGTGTAATCATCTGTTTAGCAGCGTGCAGATGTTGGAGTATCACGTTGATAACCGTGTTTGTTTAAAGAACATCTGTGAGCGCTGCGAGGAGGACAAAGATGAAGAGTGGCATCGTTTCCGTTGCCGCGGCAATTACGACTTAGAAGGCGCAGCTTGCTTAGACCATGGCGACGTTGCGGCGCGATGTTGTCCAAAGGAAACCAAAAGGCGGTTAACGCAACGTAAGAAAGAAATCGATCAGCGCTTTGCGATGTTTGACCGTGTCGAAGGCGTGCGCTGGGAGGATAGGGAATATTGGGAGGCGCCCTGCGAGCGCTGCGGCTGTCAAAGAAGTGACCAACATATTTGGCAGTGCTTGTATCCGCAGTCTGATCCCGTCACCTTTAAGAAGTACTTAGATACGTTCCAAAGTTGGAGCGGTAATAACTTAAAAGATAAGATCGCCCGTAAGGGCTAGTAAGGAAGTTAGGTCAGGGTTTGCGCAAAGAGTTTCAAATCCTGATCTTATTTTTATTTATTATTATTAAGGTTCAATAATAATAAATAAGAATAAGGACCCCTTTTAAAGGGCCTTGCAGAGCCCCTAAGTATATGCTATACTACGCAGCCGCCTTCTTAGGAGGATTCCTAATCGCCTTTTCAATATATGGACTGTATTACGTGCGAACCACCTGCCGACTGCATTACCCCTTGTAAGCCGCCGACACCCAAACCGCGTAAAAAATACACCTGCCTTCATTGCGACAGGGTATTCCCCGAAGGATCCTTTGTGGGCCACTGGTGCTCCGCGGATCCTAAAGCGCAGCGGACTTTAGCAGACGCGCTAGTAAGCTGAGGAACAAAGCTTAGCTATGCAGAGGACTCTCGGGCTCATACTTAACCACGTCGAATACGCACCTGCCATCCTTTTTACCATGACTCATAACATGGGTAACGTCCTGCCCTTCGATGGCGTACCTTATTCTATCAGGCGCCCAAAGGGTGTATGTTCTTTTTTTATCCTTTAAAACCAAGCGCAGCCGGTCCAAGTCTTCAAAGACTACGTAATTCTTTACCACCAAATCGCGCCAGTGCGTTTGTATGAACTTTAACTCGGCGAATTTGTCCTTATCCATTATACCTATGGAATATTCTCAAATGCGTTGCCAGAGTCTGCGCGCTTTTAAAGCGCTTACAGCACCCGCGGCAGGGCAGGCGAATTCCTTGTGCATACTCCGTGATCTCCCTGCAAATGACATCGTAGTCGTTGCCAATTATTACCTTATAGCCGTTTTCTTTGTACCTCTGCAACAGGCGTCGTTGATCCTCAGATAATACCCCGTTGCCTTTAGGGGCCTTCAGCTCTATGCAGAATCCATGGTATCGTACGTGTGCATTCAAGATGAGCAGGTCGGGCTGACCGCGTTGGTAGCCCTTCTGCCAGCACTTTATACGTTTGCCGTCCGA